AAAGATTTGACGTACTATATATTGGTTTTGTTTTTTGAAGCTAGATGGCCAATTCGAGAAATATGGATGAGGAGGAGTTGATGATGAATTTGATCAACACCGGCACTCAAGTTGCTTGCGATGATGGTGCTAAAAATAACATGCAAGAGGATGTAGATGACGGAGTCAAGATTAGCTTTTTGAACAAAATGAGCAACAACATATTGGCCAAGTATATATTTTTTATTATTAGCTATATATATATATTATCATATGTCCTATGTGTGCTCATGACATTAAAAATAATGTTTATGTTTTGTAGCCCTCTGGATCGACATCAACAACTACAACGAAGAGTAAAAATGTTCGAGGTCCCAAAAAGCCATTGAGGGTCGCTTCATCATCTCGTAGTTCAATGTGGATACAGGAGAACCGGGGGCCGAAAATAAAATGAAATTTGTGCACCATCAGGTTACCTTTGTACGGGACCGACTCCCGATTAGTACCCGTGAATGGAAGAAGAAGACCAATGCTCCTCATATCAGTTTTGTCTCCGATCGTGACAAGGCGTTAATTTGGAATGATGTCTTGGTACATTTCACGCCCAAACAGATGATTATGATGATATAATAGATGGTGATGAATTGAAGGAGCGAAGTTAGGGATTGGGCAATGAAGAAGATGGCCACCCGGGCCAGACTTGGAAGAAACACCTATACACGACGTATGTCAAGAAGAACATAGCACCAGATTTTACCGTCTCCCAGTCCGATCTCAAAGCAGAGGCCCTATTGGGATGAGTTTGTACAAGACAAGACTTCGGAAGAGGGTGTGAGTCGGGTGATAAAGAACCAACATAATGCCCAATGTAAGACATACCACCATACCTTGGGATCGTGTGGCTACCCGATCGCCATTAAGAAGTGGAACAAAATGGAAGCGCACCTTCTTGCCAAGGGTATCGCACTGTAATCACTCGAGTGGGGGAGAACGTGCAAAGAATTGGTTTTTCGCTCATGGGGAACACTAGACCAGAGACAGTGAAGTGCGTTTATGGCGCAAGACCGCAAGAAGCAAAGCAGAAGATTGCTTTATGCTCGTAGAGCTATCGCTAGTGGTGCGCTCAGCCCAACAGAGAGAAGGATGAGCCGACATACGCCATCGGGACTATTGAACATGGTGGCGAACTAGAGGCAAAGGAAGTGTCTCGTGGGAGCATGGATTCCCTCAGATGCACCTTCCTACAGTAAGTCGCCAGAGAAAGAAGGAAGAAGAGGCACACCGCCCAGAGGTTGGAGGAAGCGGCATGCGTGAAGCACAGAGCGGGAAAAAAACCTTGAAGCGAGAATGCAGGAGGAAATCAAAAGGCAAGTGCAAATAGCAAAGGAGTGCAAGCAAGCGTGCATCGAGCCGTGAATCAACATTAGCCAACTGCTCAGCTTGAAAGCAACGCGCTTCCACGGAGATACCAAATCAAGGGGACACAGGATCAAGGCTTCCTCGTGGATGACGCCATCAAACCTTGTACAACGTGTGAGCTACACATTCCGAAGGAGAATTCCACAATCAAGGTGGCTATCGGTCTTGTTAATCCTATCGACCAAACCAAGACACCAAGGATTCATGGGAATATAATCCAAGAAGGATATGCCACCATCTCGGTAGATAAAGTGAAAAAGGTTTTAGTGATTTGCCTCTTGACATTCCCCGGAGGTGATGGCGAGAAGACTCTAGGAGAAGCGGAGAAGACATTCATTCTATGGCGCAAGCGCTACATCATCATTCCAGTGGATGTCGGCTCCACCTCCTCCCCGAACTACCTCACCATAGGTATGTGCGGATGAAAACACTACATCATTAATTTGTATTGGCTTAAATAATTAACAATCACTCATAATAATATGTCATTCCTTTTTTGTAGCAGATCCTCCCCAATCTAAATCCAATTGTTCAATCGCCAGATCATCATAGTGCTCAGACGATGACATTGTGTTGGAAGACGAGGCTGCATCCACACCTCTCCAAGGAGGTCTCCAACGCCATGCCCGCCACCTCCAAGGAGGTCTCCAACGCCACGCCAACACCTCCAAGGAGGTCTCCAACGCCACGCCAACACCTCCAAGGAGGTCTCCAACGCCTCCCCGCCCCGCCTACCAAGAAGCCTAGCAAGAGGTCAGCCCTCAAACGAAGAACCAGTCCCTCACCGCAAAGAAAGCCACCGTGAAACCAAGGGTTATTCCCAAAATAATATCTCAAGAGAAGGAAGAAGGAACTGATGCATATAAAAAGACATGTCTAGATTCTATGACAAACTTAAAATGAATCAAGAAGCAAGGAGAAACCCAGAGAAACCGTATTTCTTCAGAGTCTTGGATATTTTAAGAAAAAGGTGATTTCTTACCAAAGATCAACAAATGGAATCTCGTAAGTCATCCAAATCAACGTTATCGACTATGACCGCACTCTCACCAAGTCAATTGAGGCGGCATGTAAAAAAAAAGCGGGCGGGGAAAGGAGTTGCCCAACTCGGACAACAAGCGCACCAATCAATCCCCCGCTTAGTTGTTGGTAATGAATATGGTTCAATTTAGGATTAATGCATCAGCAAACATACCTCCGGATGTCGATTTGGATCACCTTGGTGAATTTCTTGATGAGACCGGTCTCGACCTTTACCGATGTTTGGTGATGGAAACATTGAGAGTGCGGCGAGGTTGATATTTGGAAGAAAAATTTGTACTAGGCCGTAGTCTATACAACCCTCAAGCCTTATCTCGATCCGGGGACGCAAATGTACCGCTAAACAGTGGTACATGCAAAGCGCCTACCAAAGGAGACTTCTAACGTTGGTGTCGTAATTAGAGACGAACATTGGTTCCGTGGCGATGATGTTATGTATGTTGACTTTGCGTAATTTCATCAACTATGCCACCGACCTCTCTCGGACAAAGTTATCATTAGTCGCTATTGCCTCGTAAGTAATAATTCTTTCGATCTATTATTAAACTCATCATATGTGTGTATATGCATATAAATTATCATAACAAGTACTATATATATGCAGATTTACAATGACAGAGCTCGTAAAGGAAGGCTGCAATGAAATTGGTTTTGTTGATCCCCATATAGTATTCAAAGACCCAATTACTCCAATGACTAATTGGAAGTCCGAGTCGAGAGTAACCTCATGAACTTCTTAGTGAACCAACGCCACAAGAAGGATATACTCTTTCCTATAACTTCAAGTGAGTGTTAATCATGTCGATCATAGCCTTAATGGCTCATATGTTGATTCTAGTTAATTAATGAGTGTTATGCGTTATATCCTATAAACACATGCAAAGAATCAATCGGATATTGATGGACATCGATCCGGTGAAAAGTCACTTGATAATCTATGACTCGATGAGAAAACCACAACAAGACTACCAAGATATGATAGATATTATCCAGAGGTAATTTCGAGATCTCTAGCAACTATATATACACACAAACATGATGATTAACTATATCCGATGACGTGGCAAATTTTTTATTGGGCAAAGTTTGGAAAACCTTTATTGAGAAGCAACACATGGAAAAATGCAAAGCGCCATCGAATGTAATCCCTTTGAAAGTAAGTCCCCGAATCGCATCATCTTTATTAATTCAACATATAGCTTTCACCGGATCACCGATTGGATGACAAATCTTTTTCTCGTAAAGTGGTGTCTAAGGCGTGAGAACAGGGGAACAACTACCGTGGGTTACTATGTTTGCAAGTTTATCAAGGTGCTCTCCCAAAGAACTCCTACAGAGAGACTCAAAGCACGTTAAAATACACTATATATTCATTTAATTATTATTATTGATTGTGTTACTATGTCTTTATATATATATATATATATACATATATTAATTTATTTTCCTTTAATTCAAACCTGTAGACTCGATGGTTGTTGAGGAAAAGGTCATACTAAGAAGACCAAATCAAAGCAATTCAAGAGTCTATAGCCGGATTTTTAATGAGCAGTGTCATCGATTCCAAGGGCGAGTTCTACTTCACCCAACACCGCCATTGAAGCCAAGCTAGAGGATGAGAAGAAACTTGTTATGTCACAACAACTATAATGCAATCTTTTGTAATATATGCACATGAAATAATATAATGTAAAATACACATATGCATGCATGCATGTAAATATATATATGATGCATGCATGCATATATATATATATATATATATATATTTATATGATTGAATTGTGTGATTTAATACGCTCATTGTGCTTGACCGAAATATACTATATGCAGCGTATAAATGTATAATTAGCAGCGCATAATACGACTTCAAAAACCTATTTTGAAAAGAAAACAAAAAATGAAAAGAAAAGAAAAAGAAAAAACTTTAGTCCCGGTTCAGATTACCAACCGGGACTAAAGGTGCCGCCATCGTGGCATGTCAGAGGCACCTTTAGTCCCGGTTGGTGTTACCCACCGACTAAAGGTCCTCCTTAGTCCCGGTTCCTGACCCGGGACTAAAGGACCCCCCCTTTAGTCCCGGATGCTTGCTCCCGGGTGGGGAACCGGGACTAGAGGGGGTTCCCCACCGGGAGTAAAGCTCGGTTCTGTACTAGTGTTTCTGTTGGAAGATAAGGCAATGCTATGCGTGTTTATCTTGTATAACTGTGTAACAACTTGAGATAAGCAACCGACCAGGAGCTCTAGAGTTTGTTAATTATAGGCGATCTATGTAGCTCTTAGATGACATAATCTGTTGTAACAAGAACTCCTGATGGCTGGCTCTCCAATCTGTTATTCCCGTGTAAATGCATGTTAGATACTGTAGTCCACACGGCAATAGCCCAGCACACACAAACCTTGTGAACCAACCACCAGTCCATGCTCCTAACATGTATATATATATATAATATCGGCTGGAGGCATATATATATGTCCAAAGAACAGCATCAGCTATATATAAAGTCCTCACAGTACAACCAGCAAGAAAAGAAGAAAAAAGACTACACGTACGGCAAACAATGAGCTCCGTGGTTAGGAAATCCTTGCCGCAGCTCATCAGGCCATCGTCGGAGGAGCTGGAGATGAAGACGACTACCAGTAGCATAGACCTCTCATCCTTCGACAAGGGTTTTAGTGCCATGCCAGCGACATGCTTCCTCGTGTTCGAGCACCCAATCGACGAGCCTGCCGAGACTATAAGAAGGGGCCTCTCCCGTGCACTTGCCTACTACTACCCCATCGCCGGGCGCCTTGCCCCGGGGGGCGGCGGCGACGAGGCTCGTGTCGAATGCAACGGCGAGGGCGTGGTCTTCGTTGATGCATCCGCAGACTGTGCCCTGAAGGAAGCAAAATTCTTCAACAACGACCCTTCATCCGGTGCAACGACGCTACCAGACGACCTCGCCGTCTACTACCCGCACGACAGGTGCGGCTGCGCCGACCCACTGCTGATGATGCAGGTGACCGTGTTCTCCTGCGGTGGCTTCGTTGCCGGAGTCACATGGAACCACGCCATTGCCGACGGCGCCGGGATGGCCCAGTTCTTGCAGGCCGTAGGCGAGCATGCGAGCGGGCTGCCAGCACCGTCTGTCGTCCCAACCCGGTGCGACAGCTCGCTGCCAGGCCTCCCTCCGGTGATCGCTTACGCGCAGCGGTCCATGATGGGCCTGGCGCCAAGGGACTTCGCTTGCTTGGAGTACACCGTGCCTTCGAGTTTGATCAACAGCATCAAAGACGAGTTCCATGGCCATGCGAATGGTGGCCAGCCATGCACTGTGTTCGAAGCGGTGACCGCTGTGCTATGGCAGTGCCGCACTCGTGTGGTCATCTCTGATCCAGAAGCCCCCTCCCTGCTGTTCATCGTATCTAATGTGCGCAAGCACGTCGGGGCCAAGGATGGCTACTATGGTAACTGTGTCACTGGGCAGCTCGTCGTCGCGACGTGCGGCTCGGTGGCGAACGGACCCATCTTGGACATAGTGAAGATGATAAGGCATGCCAAGGAGCAGATCACCAAACAGCTGAAGGCCGGGAACGATGGCGGTGGTGGTGGCGACAAGCCGCAGGCTTCGAAGCAGCCTGAGGACATGCTTCGGTACAACTACAACCTCCTGAGCGTGTCGAGCATGAGAAACATCGGCCTCGACGAGGTCGAGGTTGGCGGCAGGAAGCCGGTGAGGGTGATGTGCCGTGCCCGTGTGCCACACATGACCGTGCCCTCCTGCGTGGTGTGCCTGCCATGGAAAGGGAAGGATGGGGCCAACATGGTCACCCGCTGTGTTAGGGAGGAGCACGTTGAAGCCTTCCTTGGGGAATTGGCAAGATTCACATGATTAATTAGCAATTTATGCCGATGACCCGTTGTGTTCAATGTTACATCAGACTGGTAGTTTTAAGTGTTTGTTTCCTATACTCCCTCCTGGTTTTTCTAGATATATAGCTTTTGCTACGCATTTAAATATACATTATGTCTACATACACAATAAAAGATAGTATGTATCTAGAAAAGACAGAACAACTTACAATTTAAGTGGAGGGAGTATATGTTTGTACCTCATCTTATGGGAGATGTTATACCATTGTATCTATCTGCAATGTACTGTGGCAGAACCGCTCAATTTAACATAATCCCAAGTGTACTTGTCAGCCATTTGACACTAAGTACACAAGAGACTAAGTTAAACCCAGTAGTCTGTCGAGCACATCCAACGGGAGAACTCAAAAATCTACGTTTTCATTAGGATCATAGACAAGTGAATAAAGCTTACATCATTTATTAACCATTTCATATATCACAATATACAAAAAATCAGAGTTTGATAGAACAATTTCATAAAAGCAGCGGAAGAAAGATCATTTTACAAAAGCAGCGAAAGTTAACAATTTTGAACGTTGAGACAGAGGTAGAGATGTAAGAGTAAAACTACTACGATTGTAGCGTGGGAGGATTTCCTCGCTGAGCCCACCAGGAGGTATCCACACACAATAGTTAGCTCCAGCATCCACCTGCTACCTGCAACGGGGAATAAAACCCTGAGTACACAATGTACTCCGCAAGACTTATCCGACTAGGTGGGAGTAGTCTCCCGACTCTCAAGGATATGCAAGTGCTATTTGGCTAGCTGTTTAGTTGTTTTGTAGAGAAGCATTTCTAATAGTGCATGCTTACATTCAAAGTTTTAGCAGTCACACCAAGTTCATTACTTAACCAATTTAGGTAAGCGCCTATACTACTTTCAAGCATATGGTAAGCAATCAAAATATATTTCATGATCCGGCAGTAGCCTCATCAGCATCTCCATATTCCAGTTGTTACTACGATGCTAGACAGTGGCAAGTGGTATCCATATCCGAGGAGAGCGACGATTGCAATCTATATATATCCAGCTGGGCAATCCCAAACACACGCCCGTACTTCTCTCAAAAGAGCAAGTATAAGACAACTGTTCCGTTCATACGACCCAGGTCTAAAAGCGACCCGACCACCCCAGGAAACCCACCCTATGAGGCATGCCCCGCTGAGCGGCGACAGGTTTCCCCCTCATAAGTTTGGTCCATGGACATTCCCCGCCTCCTAACAACTCCTCGAATGGTTAGTGTAACACTCCAATAAACTTTTTAGGGACCCTGAGTTGTAGGAAAGTACTTAGCTTCACGATCAACTATAACTTAGGCCCTTGTTATGTGTTCGGTACCTTCAAACTTAACCAGCGGTCTAGCCAACGGTACGGTCCTTAACCGACACAGTAGGGAATCGTGCACCCAGAGCCGCGCCCTGTTGCACCCACCAATCCTCCAACAAAAATCTATTTTCCCACTTCCCGCCCGGTCTCCAATTATTACCATATCCAAACCATGTGACAATAGTAATAGTATAACCATCACCTATTTCTCGCGAGTGACTGTCTATCACTCGACTTCTATCGTAAGCCTTATAGCATGGCATACTACACGATCCCTATCATACTAGTAGGACTCATAGGATAAAATATTTATGCAGGTGGGTTTCAATCAACTCCTGTAACTTAATGCACGAACAACACAATGATAAGTGCTATAAAAATAGGGGTTATGCACCAGGGCTTGCCTAGGTAAACTTGTATTATACAAAGTTAGTATTCCTCCATCTTCGGGACATGATCCATCATCATCTTCAGTATTGGTCACCATTACACCATCTTTCCACGTGACGCCAACATCCTCCAGTTGATCCATCTATCCATTATCGTTCCTAAATGATATGCATAATGCAATGCATGTTTAAGTCAAACAAGCATACACACAGCCAATACAAACACGAAAAGGACAAGCAACACATGGTTGTGGGTAAACTAGGGTATTAAACGTTCCAATTTCTACTCCCATCCTTTCTCATCGGGACTTACTCGTGAGTTGATTATTAACAACATATCGCAAGTTATTAAAGTCACCACTTGCATTTAAACATACAGGCGAGAGCTACCATAATCATGCTAAGCACACTTCTACTTATTAAACACACTTTGCCTAGTCATCATCTAAAACAAGTAGTATAGACAAACGTATATTAACCCTAATCTAAACACCTAACATATATAAAAGCTTTAATAATTACAACTAAGGAATAAAAAGGTGACACACCAAACATCTATTTTGGAGATGAAAATTTTATGGGAGACACATCTTAACTAAACAAAGCTACTGTATGAATTTCATAATTTCTGGATACGCAGATTATTTACTAACAGATAATTAAGATTTAATGGTAATAAAAGCATGTAACACATGATAAATCAATAACTCAGTAAATAAACATCCATTGGTCATAAAATTTTTACCAAAGCACAAGCATGCAACAAGTAACCTACCATAAAAATTTTATAGCAATTGGATTCATATAACAGTAGATATGAATTTAGCATTAAAAAGCATAGGCAAATATCAATAACAAAACTTTTGTACTAAAACATGCGATATTATGTATCTACTGCATAGATCTAGTTGTGTGGAGTGTAACAAAACTAGTTTGGCATTTTTATGATTTTTGTACGATTTACTATGAATTTTTGAAGTTTCAACCAGATTATACTAAAAAGAAAAAGGAAAACCATATAAGAGACATTTCATTGAGACCCCTATGGTTTTCCCTAATTAACCCATGGTCTATCCATACTATTCATGTGAGTCTAGTACTTCGCATCTGGACCCAGAAAAGAGTTTCTAATTATTCTTTTGACCTTCTTCTTCTTCCTCACAAATAGAGCAGACGACAGCAGGGAAGGGGCCGGCTGGTTCCGCTCGGGAGTGGTCTTGGCAACCAAGCGTGGGATGGGGGCGTCTCTAGGCTAGTGCATCGCTGGGGTTGGCCTCTGCTCGACTGGAGGAGGAGTGTGGAGGGCCAGCCGTCGTGTGCGTGCGGCTCGGCTACGTGCAGACCGGCGGCGGCGGCGCTGTGGGGCACGGCGGGCGACGAGGGCGCGCTGCGTGGAATCGGGCGACCATAGCGCGCCCGTGGCTAGGCTCTACTCAGGCCTGGGTAGGGCACAGCGGCCAGGCCACGTGCTCACATGGCGGCGGCCCGAGCAAGGGCCATGGCGGCTCCCGTAACACGGGCTACGGCGACCACGCGCAGGGCATAGTGAGGAGCGAGGCGGATGTGGGGGCAAGATCAACTCGGCCTGCGACCGAGTGCAGCAGCGAGGACGGTGGCGCTCGAGCTCAACTCCGAGCTCATGGTGGGTGCTCGGGTCGTGGCAAGGAGAAGAAGAGAGAGAGCACGAGCAAGGAAGCGAGGAGCGGAGTTCGGGGACGTGTAGAAGAAGGCAAGGCGAGGAGCAGCGCGACATGGCGGGCAGGGACCGAGCAGGGTGTGGGTGTGGGCGCAGGCAGGGCATGGGTGCCCTGAGCGTGAACTGTTCACGATGTGCCAAGGGCAGAGCCAGGGCATGGCGAGAACAGCGACATGTGCCCCACTTTGACGCACCGCACAGAGGATTTGGTCAAGGTTTTGGCCCCATGTCCTACACAAGATTTTTTTCCAACATCTCATTCTCCAACTCATATTAAGGGACCATGATCATTAGAATCATAGATTAGGAGATAAACAGTGCTAAACATTGCAATGTCAGCGAAAACACTGAGCACTTAGAAACTCTCCCAGAAAACAGCATTTTATTCAAACTTTGAAGCACTAATTAATCTATCAATCAATCAAACTAGGCACAAACAAGTACCCTACCATAAAGTTCATAACTTAGTACTAAGTTTTTCACATGGACGTATTTCAGAGTTTGTTAATAAATTATTTATTTATTCAGCCTTCAACAACACCAATTAGGGTTTTTTGACATTTTTAAGCATTTTCTTCACATTTTTCCAACATGAACCCTAAATAACTTTTGTTCGCAAACTCATTTAGAGATGTTTAATCACCACAGCAAGGTTGATTGACATCACACATGTTGATTTTATTCACGAAAGTGATTCAAGCAAATACGTACTTATCATTTCATGCAAGAGTTTATCATCAAGCATAGAAAACTTATTTATTAGGTTTAATTAAGCCTTAAACTATTGTTAAATAGGTACGTAACACTGGGGTGTTACACATATCTTTGATGTTGCAGCGACAATAAATTGCGAAGAAAACTTAGCAATATGCATGGTAAATGTGGGAGTTGTATGCCACTTGTATATGTCGTTACCCTCTTTGAGATGCACAAATTTTGGCCAGCAGAAACAAGAAAGAGAAACAGATACTTCTACTTTCATTTACTGTTACGGCAATGTTGGGTGGAGCCAACAAGCAAGGTGAAACAGTGAGATTCCCAAAAAGGGAACTCAAGTTTTAGGATAAGAACAATAAGCATGGGCAAGAGACAGAAAAGCCTATGTGGGTGTGGAAAAGAGCTGTCAATCCTCTTTGAGAAGGCAAAAGCTTTGTATTCATGCATTTGTTATTGTAGTCTTGGAAACCGGACATGAAACTTCCACTAAGTCTCATTGGAAGTTTCAAAGGAGTTTCTCATCTAATGTTGTGATATATCAGCAATTTGCTGAGTTGACATGTTAATTACGGAGAGAGAGAGAGTCCCATAAAGTTTCATCTAGATGAAACTCATTGTCATAAATACCAACAAAAAATTGACATGGCAATCTTGGCAAATGTGTCATGAAACTTGCTATTGAGACCGGCCTTAGAGCAACTCCAACAAGGCATTTACTTGAGCCTCCATAGCTAAACATGGACGCCCAGGCCAAAAACACAACTCTAGTAGACCCCTACTTGGGCCGCGAAATTTGGGTGGACACCCGAATCCTCCCAAGAGACCATGTTCCTGGGTGCTCAGCTTCA